GGGGCCAGGGGGCCGGGGGGGGGCGGCCTGTCGCTTCCCCCCTTTCGGGGGCTTCTCGGCCCCCTGCCCACCCCCCCCCCCCGGGCCCCTCGGCACCCCCTCCCAAACCCCTGCCCTGGGGAAGCAGGCCCAGGCACAGCGGACCAGGGCTCTGCGTGTTAACCGTCTCCCACCCCACGAGACCCCGCCCACTCCTGCCTCCCTGACCCGGTGCCCTCCCCAGGGCCCCATCTGGGGACGTGGGGGGCTCACGAGCACCCACACGCTCAGGCCCTTCTCCGTATGCTTTCTAAGCCCAGTTCCACCCAGAACCCGCTTTGTAAGAACTGAACTCACCTCACCAGGCAGCAGTGTGGGTGTACAGAAGGGGAGTCACCAGGCAGGGCCACGGCAGAGGGGACCTGGCCTGGCCCCACACACAACAGAGGTTCTCCCAGAACAGCCACCCCTGGGGTGCTCAGACCAAGGGGATCCTGTCCGCGGGGCATCCACGTGCCGGGCTGCCTGCACCCCTCCAATCCCACGCCACGGGTGGTCTTCCCCGGACACACAGGCTCTGAGGGGACAGATGACCTTTTGAGGGCGTCTCGGCAGCCTCTGAAAGCCAGCTCCGACCAGGAACGGGCCTGCGCACACCCAGCCACGGCTACATGCGCGGCTCCAAAGCCTCCGGCCCTGAAGGCAGGCTTGTGGCCGGCCGCGCCCCCCAAATCTCTGCTGGGCTTTTGCCCCTTCGGCCTCCACTCAGGGCTCAGCTTGCAAGGAATCCAGGCCAGGCTCAGGGCCCCTCCCAGCGTTTGCTCTGAGCTCTGCCCCTGCCCAGGGATGGCTCCCCCAGGCCAGGGTCCTGTCTGGTGTGTCCCCGCTGGGCCCTGGTGCCAGCCCACACCCCAGGCTGCCAGGTCAAGCCTGTGGGGAGACTAGCACGATGTGGACCCCAGGCTTGGCTGCGCAGGGTCTCCCAGGGCTAAAGCGCCTCCTCCACCATAGCTCCCCTACACACACACACACACACACACACACACACACACACACACACAGAGCCGCTGGCTGCCAGATAAAACTTCTCGTGCAAGGCCAATTGCCTGACTGCCAGATAAACACGTGTCATTCTTCCAAAATACCCCCTCTCCATCAGAGAAAAAACGCTGGGGTAAATGCAGCCCTGCACAGCTCTCCAACCCAAGGGGGCCATGGAGAGGGTCCTCTAGGACAGGCCTCCAGCGTCAGCTGCCAACAAACCCACTCACACGCCCCTCCCCCTGCGTGGGGCCCAGGAGCCAGGCCGGGGGCTCAGCGCTCCATCCCGAGACCACACAATGGGGGCTGTGTCTCTGGCCAGCAGCACAGACCAGACCAAGGTGGGAGGGGCCCCAGAGCCTCATTCTGCACATCGGGGAAGGGGGGGCACCCAGCAGAGGTTTGCGGCTGCTGGGCTGCTGGCCAGCCTGGAGAATCCTCGCAGGCCAGGCTAGGCCCCTTGAAGGCTCAGCAGCCCCCAGGTTTTAAGGGTGGCTGGGGGTAGCCAGGATGATGGCCCTCCAAGTCGGCGGCCTGTCCCCACTGTGGGGAGCCAGCCCGCCTCCAGGAGCTGCAGTCAGTAAGCATCCCCGGCCCAGCACTCACGCCTGCCCCGCTCTGCCGGACACCTGCACGCCAGTGCCCATGCCCGCCTGGGCCAGGCCCAGGGCATCACCTTGTGGCACACCCTCGACAAGCTTGGAATCACCAACCAGGCACGCGGCCCTGGCCAGGGCCACCCTGTTCCCTGATGGGCGTGGGGCGCAGAGCTCAGACCGCTGGCATCATTCATGAACCTGCCCGAGGCAGGTGCCTCTTCAAGGAGGCGTCCACCCACCCACCTAGCTGGCTGGCTCTGCAGCCCCACGCCAGCCACAATCTGCTGGACCACAGGCACCTGGTGGGCTGGTGGGCTGGTGGGCTAGTGGGCTGGTGGGCTGATGGGCTGGTGGGCTGGTGGGGGCAGGGCCCCACCCGTGACACATCCTGGTCTCTTCAGCATACCATGTCCCCCTGCCCACCCGGTACTCGGGCCATGGCAGTGGGGAGGTGGTGCCAGGCTTGGCAGGGAAGCTCCTGGAGCTCCCACCACACGCCTGCTGTGCCACAGGGCCCAGCTGCCAGGAGAGCAGGGCTGTAGGAGCTGCCAGTCTCCCAAACCCTGGACACCGTTTGCTAGGGGGCGATCCGGCAGGCGGCAGTCCATCCCAGCGGCCCACGCTGCCCACCCGCTAGTGCCCTGGTTCTCGAGGGCGTGGGCCGTGGGAGGCCCAGCGCCCCGCCTCCGACGCCCTCCCTCGGCCCCGTCCTCCCCACCCCGCGCCCCCC